TAGCAGCTTCCCTTATAAAACGACGGCAAAGCCTAACTGCGGTTACCAACCTGCCTGCGAAGTGGGGCAACTTCTGGCAATACTGGGGAAGCCTATGTTTAGCAATGGACAGTCAACAGTTGATATAATAAATAAAATATAATATCCATAGTAGAGGAAGACTTTGTACAAAAGTCGTTTGCTTGGGTACCTCTGTGCCATTCGTGTTTCAACCGTAAAGCAGTTGTATTTGCATGGCTGTGTTTCGGTTTGAAGGGTGGGATATGGCGTGAATTTACAGGGTACAGAGTAATAACACCTGAGTCCTCAGGAATGGCAACGCAAGGGAGTATCATGGGCGAAACAGTATACTCTGTTATGTCCATGGTACTGCTCATGTCTATAGGCGACTGTTACCACTTTCCATCAAGTGGGCCGTCAGCTTGTTTGCCATTCTAAGTTGTATAAAAAAAAGAATATATTTATTAGTTAGTTATTAATAATATGAACATATTGAAGTTCAATGTTATTTATTTATTATTCATAGACAAACTGGAAATTATTGCAGATTCGCTGGTTCAAACGTGATACTTACATGTTCTGATCCCGATATTGATCTAGTTGTTAAAATGCCAATAAAAAATTTTAAGAACTGCGTTGCGTATTTTTTTTTTCGTTTTAGAGTCATCGATATTTCCTATACATATTGATAATATTTTAATAGCGGTTTTCTCTATATAAGCCAAATAGTCTTTGCCATATTTAACTATAGTCTGTCACTCTCTCATATATTTTAATCATTTTTAAATTTGTTCTTATAACAACTCTTAATATATTACTAAATATCGTCTAAATGACGTCTAAATAATTAAATATCGTTAAAAAACTTCTTCTTCTTTTTTGAGTAATTAAAAACACTTACAAACATTGTGTTAAGTAATTAAAATAATTATAAACATTGTTGTTTATAACAGATTTAGGTTGTTATTTAAACTTTTTTTTTTAATATAGGTGTATTAATAAACAAAAATAACATTAATCACTATCGAGTTCTAAAATACTATATATTGTGAATATTACAAAAATATTTATTAAAACCAATTGAAAGTTGCGTTGGAAAAATTTTAGCTATATGCAGAACATACATAAAAAAAAAAAACAAAAATTAATTGAGATCTCTGAAACTGTTAAAATTAAATATGTACGTACAACTGATAATGTTTGTACGATTTTTTATACTTTATTCATATGTGAAAATTAACAAAAAGGCAATATTATTATGATAGTAGGCATAATATTATTACTATTTTGTATTAATCTAGCACACATATGAAAGGAAAACGTTATATTACTTCTTTCATGTATATATATATATATATATATATATATATATATATATATATATATATATATATATATATATATACATTTATGTATATGTGTCTGTTGTTATTTATAAGTTGTTAGCGATTCAAATAAATTATGTACCTTTATTAACGTCACTACAAAATTGTAAAATATATCCAACAATATTAATAACTCATTCACATAACAGTCTATAATGTAATATAAATATAATTTAGAATAACTCCATTGAAAATAATATGTCATGGAACTCTGCCGAATGTCGCAACTAATATAGCGGACGAATGTGGTAAAATACCGCAATTGGAAACGCGATTTGCACGACAATTGATTAATATTCCAATGCAGGATTTGTGGTAGCGACCATAATGATACCGCATTTATATAGTTATTCAAAAGAGCAACATCCAGACATTGTTCACATCGACAATTGATTTTTCGACGTCGTTATAAATTGCCGTTAATTTACATTTTGCTTAGGAGACCACTTTATCATTTTTCTTTTATTTGACTTTATCATTTATGCATTCATTCACGTAAAGTCGTCATCTAGTAGTTTACGTCCGAGGCTAAAAACGATTAGGAACTCTTAATGCCGAAGGGCCTTTTAAATTGGCAGACACCTAATAGACCAATTTAAATATGGAATAGTTATTTTTTTTATCTAAATTCTTAATTTAAAATTAAGTGATAAGACACTACAATTAGGAGAACGTACAACATTTGAAGACTTTAAACTAGTCATGCTCACTATAAGGCCCTGACTCATGGTGGCGTCGTGAGTTGATTCGTTGAGTTCCCTAAAATATAGTTGACGCGCAATGACGGCTGGCTCAACCGTTATGCGCGTGAACGGATACTGTTTGTGGGAACTGGTCTGCTCATGTTTGCTTGTTTATTTTCCATTTAATAATACATATAATTAGAACTCAATGTTAATTATAATCACAGTACCCATACAAATGTAAAATCAGAGGAATAACACCTGAGTCCTCAGGAATGGCAATGCATGACGGATATCATGGGCGAAACAATATACTCTGTTATGTCCATGGTACTGCTCATGTCTATAGGCAACGGTTACCACTTTCCATCAGGTGGGCCATCAGCTTGTTTGCCATTATAAGTTGTTATAAAAAAAAATCTTGTACATAATAAATTGAAAAGTAACTCTTGAGTTTCTTAAGGGTTCTTTTCAACAGATAACAACATTCTGAATCCAGTTCTAGAATCATTAAAATACGATTTAAAAGAGCTTGTAAACAAGTCTATTTGGATAAAGATTATTTCTATTTTGTTCTATTTTTATTTTTATCAAAACTCTATAGATCGTAAAAATCGGCGTAGAATCAACGAAGATATCACATAACATACAAAATAACCTATTGAATTGATTTTTTTTTCTTTTTGAATTCTAAAAATAAATCTTTGAATCTGTCAAGGGGTCATCATTTTAAATAATGTAACTACTGGGGACAATAAGTTATAGTCCAATTAAACATAATTTTTTATAACTTTTTTTTACAATATTATTTAAATACATACTCGATTATTTATTTACTGTAAAGTGTTAAATTTATTGTTTTATTCCATGTCGTAGAAATTTTGGATTCAAATTTCAGCCACTTTCATTTTTTAATTATATTTCTAACTGGCCGTTGCCCGCGGGATTGCACGCGCTGTGTCGTCTCTTTGTATCTGTCCTTCAAGTTGAAAATTTTGAAAAACCTTTCTTAATAGATGTTTATACATATTATAATTTAAACCTTTAAACAAACTAAGTTTTCAAGACTTAGTTTCTATCGTTAGACGCTGTATGTTGATAGTCAATCAGAACAGCCGATTTTGTAAGTATAGATATTCTGTAACTTGTACTTCTCTAATTTTTACGTGCAATATTTTGTTTTTTTTTTTTTTGTTTTGTTATATTTTATGATATCTTCTTGTTACTTGTAAAAAATTTTCAACCCAATGCAGTATTGTAGCGAATAAATAAATAAATAAAAAAAAATATAGCACATAATTTCTGAAATGTAACTGAATGACCTATGCTAATAGCATTATGTGTGCTCGAGGCCTTACATGATAATTAATTGATAGTAATCGGTATCAATTTTAAATTCATTTTGTATCCAATTAATATTTAATTTAATTAACAATTTATTATTTTGTTGTTACTATCCGTAAATGCATATTGTAACTACTTTTAATGTTTAAATTAGTACGATTGTAGTAATATATTGTTGGAAATCGTATTGTAGTAAATTTAATTGTTGTTGTGTTGTTTTTGTAAATATATACAAATAATACTATATGTACATACAATAAAATTGCAACTAAACGATTTTATGATAATATTTGGTTACAATTTATTATGTTTTAGTAAAAGTATTAATAAAAGCTTCTATAGCTAGTAGAAAAAAATATATTTATTTAAAACTATTGTTCATATATAATGAAATAGAATACGGTTTTTACAGTTGAATTTCTGAAGATCAAACAAATTTGCTATTTTTTAAATTCATTTATACGAAGTACGCGGGCAAATGTTATTCCTAAATAAATTATTACTCTTAATACCGTTTACTTGGTCTTAATCTAATACATTTTGTTTATAAAGAGTTTTTTTACAAAAAAAAAAATTATTATTTATTTAAAATACTATCTATTAAACATATTTTGCACATCGAATAAACGCGATTTGATATGATACTGACATTTTTTTATAGTATTGCATTTCTTGATTTATTATGCTAATGATTTATTTAAATGATAATTTATTATTATTTATATAATTTAACTTTACACTTTCGCGTTGTTTACACATATTTTAAATACACACTCGGGACTTAACTCAATGATAAATCTTTGCAGGTAAATAGTATCTACATATTTGCTTCTTTATTGTCGTCATTTCGACGTGAATTGCACCATATAATTTTTAATTAACTATTGTACAATATAAAATAATTGTTACAAATTCTAAAAATAAATAAAAAAATTATAATGTAATGAACGAAAAACTTAATAATTATGAACATTATTTATTAAAATTTCATTATTATTGGAAAACAAATATTTTTTTGTTTTAAATTTTATTTTGAATGTTGAAAAAATATTATAGCAATAAATTAGTTTTAATTATCCATCTATCTACACTTATAATTATATTTGTTTATCTAAAAGACTTAGTTTTTAATAAATAAAGATAATACAATCTCCTTATCTTTAACCTTTGCATGACAAGTTTAGTTTAATATATTTCTCATACAGTTTTCACGTAACACAAAAAAGACCGATCATTTACAGTAACTGCGTTATAAATTATTTGATTAATTAATTATTTGATTAATTACTATTAATTAATTATAAACTAAGATTTATCCGAAATTTTATTAAATATTTTATTATTAAAATATTAATAGGTTGAAAATATACTTTCTGGCGACTCAATCCGATGGGATTAGAGTCTATCAATAATATAGAATTTTCAAATCTGGATTTTGCTTTGAAGATATTTTCAAATAGCCCTATAGAAATTCAATGAAAAATAATTTTATTATTAATTAAAGTGTGATTAAAATAAATAATGATAATTCATTTTAATTAAATAATTATAAGTAAATACCTCCAAATTAATTAATAAATATACATACCAAATTAATGCACCATCAAGGTTTCACTGTTAATACAGTAAAAAATAAAGCAGCGTCCACAGCACAACACTTCACGCGTCGCGTAAAGTTTTCCGCGTAATTACACGCCTCGCGTAAATCTACCCTCGACGCTAACTCTCGCGAAGTCCGCGGTCAACTGACTCTATGCGAGCCTGTCTCCACTTTCATGAAATGAACTGAAAGCATTACTGTAGAATAATAATGTCGTATGTCCAAGAAACTGATACGGAAATTTAGGTTTTTCACAAGGGACGATAAGGTTGATTTTGATATGTCGCGAAATTTGTTTTGAAAGTACTTCGCTGTTTGTTTGGGAGGGTCACAGAGGCGGGAATGAGTGTGTCGAAAAAAAAATAAGCCAACCACGTCTCAGTGAGTTAAGGCTTCAGGGGCGGGTTTTCAGTGAATATCTTTAATTAAAACGGCAACTTTCGTCTAGTTACAGTGTGTAATGAATTGAAATCTCTAGGAAAAGTGAAAAAAAGTGATCACTAGATAGTCAGAAGACGGAGACGTGGCTTTGAGTTTCTAGTTGGGAGAAAATAAATTTAATATTAAAAAGTTGCAATGGATGCTCTAATTAAATTAAAAATCATAATGTAAACTCTATATAATGCGATTTTAAGGATGAATTCTATTGTGTTATATAGAGATTTCTCTATAATGGTAAGTGAAGAAAAAATAAGTCAAGTCAGTTCTCAAGTATAGCAATATATGTGGAACCACTCATATGCATAACAGTATATTCGACGATGTTTTAGTGATTTTCATGTACATAGGTAATAACCGCTACTACTTTCAATCAGGTGAACCATCAGTTTGTTTGCCATTCTAAGCTGCATAAAATATGTGTATATCCGATAATGACCCCATGCAGAAATCGTCTACGTTGTTACCTCTATTCTTTTCGAGTTTCTGTCATCAGATAGCTGTGCTTACATAGCTGTTTCGAAGGGTAAAAGATAGTACTGATATTACAGAGTACTAGGCATGGGTTATATCAGTACTGCTCCCGATATATAGATGTCGACCCAAAATATGGATATTGGGTACTTTTGACATTGAATGATTGACAAAAAAAAACCATTATCCATTTCGATATCGCCAATACAAATCAGAATACAATCAGATCTGTATTTATTTCGATCCAGTTCTTCATTCCTATATTGTACAGTAGTTAATTGGTAAGTTATTAGGTGAAGGCGGATATTGTAACAGTAATATATAGATATTTCCATTTATTACCCATCCCAACAAAACACACAGTTAGTTTAAAGAATTTCGTTTCTTAAATTGGGCCGACTGAGAATCGAACTCGAAACTCAATGATATGATAATTGAACAAATTATCATATCTTTGAGTTCCGAATTCGATTCTCAATTGAACAAAACAAAAACCACAGGGAGACTTTGTACAAATGCCCCATTTGTGTTTCAGCCGTAAAGCAGTTGTGTTTGCATGGCGGCGTTTCGGTTTGAATGGTGGGATATGGCGTGAGTTTACAGGGTACAGATGAATAACATCTGAGTCCTCAGGAATGGCATCGCATGGGGGGTATTATGGGCGAAACTGTATACTCTATTATGTCTATGGTACTGCTCATGACTGAAGGCGACGGTTACCACTTTCCATCAGGTGGGCCGTCAGCTTGTTTGCCATTCTAAGTTGTATAAAAAAATACATTTTATTTTTCACTTGTGCCAGACGGCTTGGCTTTGCATGAGTAAATAGAATTTTCATCATCATCATCATCATCATATCAGCTTTTAATTGTACACTGCTGAATACAAGCCTCCCTTCGAGAGGTTTTGCTGGTAGTTGCCACGCTTGGCAGGTGGATCGCCAACTGTAGTTAGGCTTTAGAAATGTTATGAGAGGGACGCTGTTGCCCATCCCTCGCCCTTCCTTGGTCGCCTCTTACAACATATACGGGAAAGGAAGAAATGGCCTATTCTATGCCGGGACCACATGACTATAGCCTATGTTATTTGCTAATAATGTAACTTTTTATAGATGAATGAATATTTAAAATCGATCGAGTAGTTTTTAAGTTTCTTCATCAGAAACAAATAATCAAATCTTTTCTCTTTCTAATATTATGAAGAACAAATTTTTAAGAACAATTCACGAGGAATATTACAGGTACTTAATTCTACTCTCTCTTTCTCTCTCTCATGAGAATTATTTTTAACCATATTATCTTATCTCTTAAGCTGTGTGGTCCCAGCATAGAATGGGCCATCACTTTCTTTCTCGTAAGTGTCGTAAGAGGCGAGTAAGAAAACTTAAGTCAGGGATTTACAACTCAGTCGAGGGATGGGCAGAATCGTCCCTCTTAAAACATCACTAATTTCTAACTGCAATTACTAACCCGCCTGCCAAGCATGGCAACTACTGGCAAAACCCCCAATAGAAATAGGCTTATATTCAGTAGTAGACAGTAAACGACTCATTTAACGATGATGATATAATTTTACCTATCTTTAAGTCATCCATGACGTCAGTGTGTGACTGACACAGTATATTCCGTTGGTGATACGACATTAATTGTCATAGTATTATGATAAGCTCTAACCATGTTGGCTATATAAAGATTTATAACCTGCTTTTTAAACTAAGTACAATATTAAATGAATATCAAGTAGGCTATTTGGTTTTTAGCAAACTCTATAATACTTCACCTTTACATCATCACAAACAAGTATCGATTTTAACTACGTTTTGTCATGTAAAAGAGGGTAAACTTGATGGCTGAGGGATACACAGCAGAGTTTCTCTTAATATGTGATATAAGTCAAACTGCGCTTGCCAATCCTCCTGCCACGCGTAGCATCTACTGGCAAAGCTACACCTTATGGGGGAGGCCTATATTCAGCAGTGAACAGTTGACGGCTAATATGTTGATGATGAAGCCCATTTTACTTTTGTCCAAAATTTTGGGAACAGAAAATATTTTGGTGAATAATAACTGTAATAGTGATACTTACAATGCTGTGAACCGCGCTCATTAATAAGGTCTCCTATAGAGCCCAAAAGTAGTCGAGCAAACCCAAACTTAAAACGTGAGAAAATGTTTTACCTAAAATTGCGAAAAAATACCTAATAATGAAAATAATACTGGTGTGTGTGGTAAAATGAAAGAAGAAAGACATAATACCTTTGAAGAATTAAACATAAGTAAAATATACCATTAAGTCTGGTGTTTGTGAACTATAAGTATGATTTTGAACCATACCCATAACTTATAACCATTTGTAACCATAGGAATGTGGCCTATGGGAGTTTATTGAAGCTGGATACTGTCAGCACTTGATGGAGTTTGCTATTCATTTTTATGAATTAGTGCTTGAAGTACCTCCACGAACTTTTATTAAATAATAATATTAATAAAATATAGTTATTATCTCATCAACCGACTTCAAAAAAGGTTCTCAATTCGGTTGTATTTTTCATGTGTATTAGTTACCTCATAACTCTATCATTTATAAACAGATTTGGAAAATCCTCTCTTATCTGAAAGGATGTTTTCATATCTGAAAGCTTTCAGATTGGTTCTATGGAAATTTAAATAAAATCATTTCAACACTTCAGTCTTTTTTAATCAAAATTACTGGTTTGCAACGTTGGAAGTCGGTGTTTTTTTATTGCACAACATCTGAAATTATATTTTGTATGTTGTATGTTCTATCTTGTATGTTGCAGCACTCTGATCCCACTAGCAGACAGATTGACTATGGCTATATTATCATTCATCATCATTTTAGGCGTTAACTGTTCATTGCTGATATGGCCTCTGAATAAACTGCTAAAAACAATCCTGAGACACCTGCATCCACTGACTTCCTGCAATGTACTTGAGGTCATAGCTTTATATAGTGGGGAGAGAGGTTTTTTTTATACAACTTAGAATGGCAAACAAGCTGACGGGCCACCTGATAGAAAGTGGTAACCATCGCCTACAGACATGAGCAGTACCATGGGCATAACAGAGTATACTGTTTCGCCCATGATACCCCCCCATGCGTTGCCATTCCTGAGAACTCAGGTGTTATTCCTCTGTACCCAGTAATTTCACGTCATATCCCACCCTTCAAACTGAAACACAGCCATGTAAACACAACTGTTTTACAGTTGAAACACGAATGGGATAGAGGTAGCCAAGCAATCGACTTTTGTACAAAGTCTCCCTCTGGTAAAGTAAAGAGGTGTTGTCTTACACTGCGTTTGCTGTATTAAAGTAGTAAAATAAAGAAAATGCATTGATAACCTCATCTATATAATATCAACTTACGCTGACTAGTACCAGTGATGGATATATTGGTAGGTGAATATGTATTCAACCATCCATTCGATCCATCGTGACAACATTACTAAGAATCAACTACAATGGTCTTCAGAAAGAATTGCGTGGATGTTGGATCTACTAGTCTTTATTACTAACTAGCAATCCACCCCGGCTTCACTCTGATAGAGAGAAAAATAAATTAGTATATTATATTATATTAGTTTTATTAGGTAATTTTAGGAAGAATATTTATTTTTTGAATATATTGTATATAGTATTAGTTGCTGATAATGTAGCTTTCTATAGGTGCAAGGTTTTTTAAAATCGATTGTGTAGTTTTAGAGCTTATCTATTACAAAAAAACATACATAAAAATACTCAAATTTATTTTAATTTTTTTTTATGCAACTTAAAATGACAAACAACCTTTCCTTTTTATAATATTAGTATAGATAACCATGTCTCTTCAGTAGTAAAGTGTTGGTACAGTAAAAGTATAATGTTACGTCTTACAGAACTAGAATATGAGACCCATTCTGGTGTAGAAAGATGAAATACAGATCCAACTCCCAAAATTATTTGCATACAATATTAGTATTTTATTCATTTTCTATAATATTTGGAATGATAAGAAAACTGATTGCCGCTGATGATGATGATTCGCCCCACCTGATCGGAAATAGTAACTATCACCTACACACATAAACAGCACCATGGATATCACCATGGATATGGATATAGAAATGGCTGTGTTATCTATAATAATTCTCATGCTTTGCCAATTCTGGCTTAGAACTTTGTAATTTCACTACCACCTACTACTACCCTCCAACTGAAAC